CCCTGGGGTTCCATCCCTCAGCACCCCAAAAATAAATAAGTAGGTAAATTTGGGCAAAGAGTGATAAGGCGGGGTCTCTAGGAGATAGCTGCTGTCCTTGAAACATAAAAGAGCTCAGTCTGATGGCATCTTCAAATACAATAGACAGCCCTGAGGTTTACTAATCATTCACTTACTACATCACTTAAAAACTTTAGTTCATTTAGGTTGCTGTTGCGAAACTATCATAAAGGAGGTGGTGCATGTCTATTCTAGAGACTCAAAACTTCAAGATGAAAATGCCAAGTAATCTGGATCTTGGAACACTCTCCTTTAAATAAAGCACCAGTATCATTCACAAAGGCCTCACTTTCATGACCCACATAATTCCCAATGGTCCCATCTCTAGACACAATCAAATTGCAGATTGGCACTTCAAAAATGAGAATTTAGGAGGCATATATTTAGAACACCACAGTCTTCTGGGTCTTTGTGTTTTTAATTATACTTCTTTGTCTAATGCTAAAATGTGAATGATGTAAAGTAAGGGAAGAGGAAGTTATGTAAAAGTAGATTCCTATACTAAAGTGAATTTCTGTGATGGAAGATGGCTAAAGAAACAAACACAATGTGAAGCAAAATATAAAACAGCGTGAAGTAAAGGTAAGGCAAGTGAGGTTTGGCAATGCTAGCACCCATACAAACAAGCCTGACTTTTGATGTAGGTTTGGGGAATTCAAACTCAGGTCCTTATACTTGCATAGCAAGTGCTGTCACTTATTGAGCCACAGTCCCAGCCTCCAAATCTTTGCTTTGAGGCATTTAATATTGTAGTGAAGTGCGCCAGTGAACAGGCCATTTTCATTGAATACAAGTGTTAGCACGGATGAACATGCAGTCATGTAAACCTGGTACCTTGCAATTTGCCTCACTGTGTGTCCTCTTGTCCAGTACAAGAAAACAATACCCACATCCTCAAGGTCACTGCTGGACTTTGAGATAGCGGAGGTTCCTCTCTGTAGAAAGGGTTAGGGGAGGGTGAGTCCAGAAGGTCTGTCAGCATCACCATTGGACCCCCCCCCCCCCCGGCTTGCTGCTGGCTTCCCCTAGTAAGATTCTGAGGCAACATCTCCTGTGGTCAGCTACTGGGACTTCCTCTCCTGTGACTCGACAAAATATTCTACAGAAGCAATTTTACCCTAGTAAGGGCAAGCATTCTTTATTTTACTTTTCTTGGTTTAGGACTAGCCATATCTTAAAGATGGTAGGAAACTGTAAAGTTAAAGGAAATAAATCTATTGGCTTGTTCCTTGCTATTGGCCTGCTTCAGTAGCAATCTCAACCAATAAAGTATATCAGAGTCAGAGATTTGGAATAAGGTCAGAAATTATGTTAGATTTGACATGGTGCCAGTAGTTTAGAGAATAGATACATATCTGGTTGACTTTGTACGTGCGGATTGCAAACCTACTTCATGGGGGCTGTAATGAGAATTGAATTGGACAGAATAAGACACACATTCATAAACAATAAACAATATCCACATTCCAGAAGCTTCCCATTGTTCCTCTCACATTTGCAATCAGGTAACCCGACCTGCACTCATTATGTGTCCCTGAAAAAACACATTTTCTGAGAAATATTCTGATACTTTATGTACATCCTCATGCATGACATACGAGTGGCAATTTCAAGTGCCTGCTGTATAAAAGAGTGTTATAAGTCATTGTGTGTTTCTGTAAAGTCCCTTGTCCTTTTCACTCTATATTAAAATGAGGGTGTCTGAACTGGAGAGGTGGCTCATCACGGAAGGTCTCTTGCTGCTCTTTCAGAGAACCTGGGTTGAGTTCCCAGAACCCACATAGTAGCAGCTCACAAACATTTGTCACTCCAGTTCCAAGGGATCCAATGTCCTCTTCTACCTCCCTTGGTCACTGAATGTGCATGGTGCACTTTCATACATGCAGGCAAAACACGTGTATGCATAAAATAAAATGAAGACATCTCTAAGAATAGGATTTTGAAATAAAGGGTGATGTCCATCATGAGTCTGATTCTCCAGCCTTAGTACTAAAGCAATGGTGGCCTAGGGCTAAGGCTATAGGTAAAGTGCTTGCCTAGTGTGTCTCAATCTTCAAGTTCAGTACCCAGTACCACAAAAATAGGCTACAATAATGGTCCAAAGCATGTTAAACTGAGCCAATATACAGCTTACACAGGACAGGGCGTGTAAATCCAGTCGAAGAGGAGAAGGGGAGTAACAAGCCATGATGTGGGGCGTGCAATTGTAAAGTAGGGATGGAACCTCACACAAATACATGCTATTTTTAGAGAGTGAAACGTGGTGTTTTTCTAAGTGGTACAGAATGGGTACTCAGAGAGCAGTTGGTCAGGTTCAGAAGATTAGCAATGAAACCTGAAATGCACGAGTCAACTAGAATCAGATCTGTCACTAACAAACAGCCTTGTTGTCCCGTTCCCATCTGAGAGTCCCAACCCTCATTACTGAAGATGCTTTGAGGATAACCTGATGGTCTTTCTTCACAGCCATTCTCACTTCTGTACTAGGCTTTGTGAAGCTAATGAAGAGGACTCAGTAGGGATTGGAGCTTTGAGCCCAGGCCACAGAGAGATCTAAGTGTCCTGTGCAGATATGCAAAAATGAGATACAAGCAGAGTCTGACCTGCATGGATTGTTTAGTTGTTGTAACAAATACTATGACAGAAAACAACATAAGGGAGGAAAGTGTTTGCATGGACTACAATCCCAGGCTGTGGTAGGAACTCAAGTAGCTAGTCACACCCCATCTAGAGTTAAAATCAGAGGCGGAATATGCACATCCTTGCTTGCTTGCTGTCAGTTAGCTTCCTCTACTCTTATATAGTCCAGGAAATGGTGCTGTCCACAATGGGCTGAATCTTCCTACATAAACTAACCATCATGGTAGCTCCCCAAAGATATGGTCAGAGGCCAATCAATTCTAGGCAATTCCTCGGTTAAGACTCCAGTCTCAATTAATTCTTGGTTGTGTAGTTGACAGTGGAAACTAACCAGCACAGGGATCTTCACATAACCAGCCAAGCCCCCCCCCCACTCCATGTATGCATTTCCCTTTCTGAGATGGAAAGAATTCTAGGTAAAAGTTTAGCTGAGCCATGGTGACCAATTACAAAGCTGTCACCCGTGAAATTAAAAGCCTATCACTATGAACAACTAGGATTTGTATATTTGTTTTCTACTATGGAGTTATTGCTATGATAAAATGACTGCCCTGAAACTCTTTACAGGTTATTAGTTTTCTCAGGCTTTGGCCAGAAGAGCAGTATCAGGCCATGATAAAATTCTGGATTCTGTGTGTCAAAAAACCCAGACTGACTTACCTGGTGGACATGCAACTCATATATTTTTAACTTCCTAATGTGCAATGGACCTCATAATAAATGTAAAGGCTATGATAGTAAACAGGGAAGGCATAGGCCTTAAGGTCCCAACACTCACAGTAAAGCAGGAGATAGACCATCAAGAGACTCTTGGTTCATTAACTGTAGCTGTGATTCACATTCCAAAGGAGAGGGTAGAGAGATGTGGAGGTCTACGACTTGATCTAGGAGAGTCCAAGAGGGTTACATGAAGAGCTATTTTAGGAACAAGATGGAGAAACACGGTGGTTTAAGAGGCTCTAAGGCGAAAGCAAAATGAACAAGATGGATGGAAGGCTGAAGGCCAGCCTGGTTGAATTTTAGGCGTCAGGATGGGTACACTATGGGGTGAAACCGAGGCAATGCTGGATCTCATGGGACTTTATAGGCTACAGAGTTGATTTTGAACTTATACGAGAGAGCAGCAAAGACTAGCCCCTGAAGGTTTCAATTTAAGGAATGGCAATCTGATTTTCGCAGCGAGATAACTTGCATAATGCATAATGTATTGGAGAGAGACCAAGTGACAGTTGGAATGTTAGCATACGATCCAGGCAGAACTAGGTGATAACTGGAGTCCCGGGGGAGACACAGGAGTGGAGAGAATGGTGGGTTCTGTGTACGTAATAATACTGCTGTCTCCCAACCTCAACAAAAACACTCAGTACTGTAGGGGTCCCCAAGAATTGATGACACCAACTTCTCCACCAGACTGACCAACCAAAATCTCCATAGAGAAGTCAGTTGTCAAAATCTAGTCAGGAAGGCATTTTGCACATTTTCTCAGGTATCCTGCTATTTTCCTCTTCTTTCCATCTCATTTGATTCTCTAAGACAACTTCAGTAGTACGGATGATGGATGATTACATTTAAATTTGAGAAAGTCGCAGTTCAAGGAGGCTAAGAAACAAGTCAGAGGTCCCACAGCTAGCACTGTAGGGCACTGTAATCTTAGCCTGTGGGACATAAATCCCAGGCTCTTTCTACTATGCAGTGATACCTCACTGTTCCTGGAATGATTGGTTGGTTCCTTTACTGCTTAGAAAGCATAAGTGTGTGATAGAACTCTAATAAAATGTAAACACAGAATGCTACCTACCTACTGAACATTTTGAAAACAAGAATCAAACTGTTTTGATTCAACAGATTAGTACTGTGGAAGCCCTTATAAAATCACACCATCATGTTCCTTTATTGAATTCTGAACTTAGTGGCATTGATGCATATTATCTTCCACTCATTTGCGTTAATTGGATCAAGAACATAATTATATACTACTCATAATTGAACGTGGCTGTAGAAGATGACAAACAGGAAGAATTGCTTGGTTAAATATTTTTCTCGTATTCGTACAGGTTGACATGACCCGGTAGCTCTGGGAAGCATTCCTCATTGATCACAGTTTATCCAGCTGACCTGACTCTGCATTGCCCATGTTCTACTACTGGTCAAGGGAGATCCGCTACCTTCTCCATGTTCCACGATGTGAACACCACTGATACGATCGTGACAGGAAGTATGACCTCATTGTGCTGCCCTGCCTCTGATTAAGAAGGCTGATTTTGAAAGTAAACAAGGGCTGTGAGGCTGACTCTCCCAAGAATGACAAGCTATTCTATTCTAGGAAACAGCTGAAAGATCGAGGGGCCACCAAAGACACAAACCGCGCTGTGGATGCCTACACGCAGCGGAGATGTGGGCAGTTTCCACCAGAAGGGAAGACGGGATTCCCTTTGTGAATCGGCTTCCACACCTGTTGACATTCTGACGGGACTATCAGCTGAAGAACTGTTGGGTCCAGATTTCTGAACTGCCAACCACGAGGAGCTTCGTGTTTCAGTGATCATCCTGTCGTTTGATCATTCGGAAGAAGAGCCTGGGGACTCCCTGTGGAGGAATATGTATGAGCGAGTTATATTTCAGAACAGATGCATTGCTTTGATAAACTAGTAGACAGAGTCTGTTTCTTGAAAAGTTCTTGAGCTGCTAACACGAGTTGTTTTCACAGTTACTAATTCTCGACTAACTGGCGTTATACTTGCTGTACACAGCTACTTGATCTTGTGAGATCAAACAGTGAGAACTTGCTTTCTGCTGCAAAAATGTCATGGCTTAAAAGAAAGCTTACTGCTCGGGTAAAACTAGCATATAGTTGGTTGGGCCAGATATATTCTTATTGTGTTGGTCAATGCTGAAGTGACAAGGGACATGTTAATATGTCTGCTTGTGTGCAATATCTTATTTTTCAATGCAGTGATTTTTTTTTCCCCGAAAGTGTGTTTTGATTTAGAAACCTTCAGAGGATTCTAGAAATGCCTTCTGTCTTCTTTAAAGGGATCTTATAAGTCGGGGTATATGATTCCTTGAAAGGTTCACACATAGATTACTAAATAATCTATTATGAGTCCTGGAATTGATGTGATTGATAGTCCATTATTAGTCAACATGCTTATTAAAAATATGGACAGAGCTAGTGGATCATGAAAGACTCTCATCTTATCTTACAAAACTACCAGGGTAGTGATACACACACACACACACACACACACACACACATACAATTTACTAGCCACCTGGAGCTAGAACTATGTAACTGAGCAAAGTCTACACAAATAGTACACTTTGTATGCTTAGTTTGTAATTGAAAAGTATACTACATGCCTCCGGGAATGGAGCTTTGTCATCTGGGTGGTGGTAAGCTATTTGTAGCTCAGTGTATCTTATGCTGTTTAGGAATGTCCAAGCTGATAGCTGCCACGAAAAGCACCGGCCTTCTCCATGGCCACTTATCAATAGTCCATGTTGTTGAGCAAAAAACACAGGCACCAGTCCTCAAGTACTGTCTGAAACGCGATAATGAAGCTATATTCTGCTGGCTGCTTTAAATACACATGGGTTTGTTTCAAGGACTCTAGAGCCAGTTACTTTTTCAGATTTCTTAATTAAGTAATGCATATTGTTTAATCTGGATGAAAAATCCACCTTCATAAATCCTAAAATGGTATCCTTATTTACAGATTTCTGAGACTTATGCAACGAGACAATGAAAAATAGAATTAGAAGTCTTTGAAACAGGCACCACCTCATTGAAGCCCCACAATCTGGTATGCTGTCTTCAAGTCTACATCTCTGTACCATTTCAGCAAACAAATCTGACTAGTGCAATTAGTAGATGCCATCTGTTTTGGCATCATTTGTCTATTTTTAATATATGGTCCATCTTTTTTTTTAAACGTCTTTTTGCAGAAAAAAAAAATCTGTGAAGTTTGAAAAAGCGGCCTTCTCAAGATGTACCAAGTCTCTCAACTGATGTCGACACCAGTAGCAAGTAAATACGAAACTGCTCTGTGCAATTATCTTTGAACGATTAGAGTCCTTAGCAATTTCCTTGCTTTGATTTTGCTGATACTTAGACCATTAGCCATCTGTCAGTAGCTTGTGTTTCTTAAATGCCAGTGTGTGCTTTGGCAATGATTTTTACTTCATTTCTTTCCTTGAGAGAAATGTGTAGATTTTTTTCCCTTTTAGCTTTTAGGATTTAAAAAAAAATCACTTTTAAAGATGCCTATGCACAAATGTGAAAGGAGACTGTTTATTGGCTACAATTAAGATGCAAAACTGTCTACAAAAAAATGCTCAAAGATTAATAGCTACTTGCAGAAAATAAGGGCGTTGTTAAAACGGTAGTGGTTTTGGGTTTCTTCCTTCCTCTTATTTTTCTCCCCAAACCCTCTTTCTTACCCTCTCTCACACCCACAGTTTTCTACTATAAAAAAAAAAAAAAAAAAAAAAAGCTCAAGCTGCAAGTCTAAATTACCTTATTTGTTTTAAGTGGTAATTGTCAGTGAAGAAACCAAGTTTCACTGGGCCTGGCTGTTAGAAGTCTTGATACTGTCTCTGCCTGTTATAGGATTATGTGACATAATTAATCCTCGGCCACTCTCTTCCAAGTGAAGCTCACTGTCATGCCTGTGGCTAAGACAGAGAGCATGGTTGCACCTTCTTTAATGAAGACTTGAGGGTTCAAACCTTTAATTCTTATGTATTTAAAGGAAACCCTTTGGCTGGGGAGATGGCTCACTAGGCCCTGAGTTTAAAGTCACGTAGCCCACAAAGGGCTGGGTGTGATGACATGCTCTGGTAAACCTGGTACCGAGAAGACATTCTGGGAGAACTGATGAGATCCAGGTTCTGCGAGAGACCTTGTCTCAAAATCTGGACAGCAACAGAGGAAGACACATGCACACACTAAATCACAACTTTATCTCCACCCAAACAGTTTCTGTTGCTGTATAGAAGCATCTACAAAGCACTAATAACAACTCTTGGCCAGTGATTGAATTCCACATATTATGGAGTAAGCTACCAATAACCAACACATTGAGCAATTGACTTTGATTTTTTACAACTTCACACAAGGTGCATTCTCTTTTCCATATATAAGCTCAGTTTAGTGGCTATGATTCATCATCCTGCACTAAAGAAACCTTACAAGGACTGTGGAGTGTGAGAAAGGATAAAGGACAGAAGCTTCTAGATTACTTTATGTCTCCCATAGAGGACTGGTAACAAGTTGAGAGATTACCTGTAACCAGCTCTTCACACTGCCCTGTGACAGACATTGCTGTCCTCTTGCTAAGGTGGGACATCATCTAGGCATACCTGCTCATGGGTCACCCCTGTTGCCATTCATGGCCATGAGATGTTGAAAAACTCTCTCCTGTTTCCTAATGCAGATTCCTCCAGGTCAGACAGAGGCCGTTCTGGACAGCTGTCTCCCACGTGCATTTTCCCAAGGTATGTCATGGGGCTTTTCTCTGTCAAATCAAACTTCCTTCAAAAGACCATGTACATATGGTTCAGTTCTGTGCGTTAGCAACTGAAAGCTTGTCTACTCTAAGAATAGTTTGATTTATTTTTTAGTGTGAGCATGTAGGGAGGTGTAAGTATTTCTTTATTGGATGGAAAACTACATTGAATACTTAGATGTGCTTGGGTTTTGATTTCTTTTCTTAACCTGGTGTCTTAGCTGCTTTCTATTATCATGATTAAACACCATGATGACAAAGAAAACTTATGGAAGAGATTGTTTATGCAAGCTTAAAATTCTAGAGAGTTATAGCCCATGACCATCATGGAGGGGACCGTGGTGGCAATCAGATAGGCAGGGTGCTGGAGCAGTAGCTGAGAGCTTACATGTGATCCAGAAGCATGAGGCAGATAAAGAAAGAACTAACTAGGACAGGCATGGACTTTCTAACCTTCAAATCCCACCCCCAGTGACACACCTCCTCCCACAAGGCCATTGCTCAAAATCCTTCTAAAACAGTTCCACCGACTGGAGACCACACATTCACATGTGAGCCCATGGAGATCATTCTCATTCAAACTATGCATGGCAACTCCCCATTTCATTTCGCAAGGGTTGCATTATTTACCGGCGCATAAGCTGGCCACATTTGATGTTCTACTCATGATAATTTATTCCAACATTTTGTCCAAACCTGCAATGGAATCTTTGTTTTCCTTCCCGTGGTTTTTCTACCTGAGCTTCTCTCCACCTCTTATTCCTTCTGTAGGCATTAGTTGAGGTTTTCTCTAGCATTTTTCTGAAATGTACCTAGAAAATAAAGGAATCGAGCAGGGACGTTAGAATCTGTCCTTCCTGTAAACATCAGGTGTTCTGACCCAACCACATGAGTCAGTCAAGGATATATAGGCAGAAATATGAATCTGTGTTGGCTCAGTTTAGCTAGGATTTAATCCCAGATTCCCTGCATGCAAGCTATAAAAAATAGCTAAGTAATTTGCCCTTCTGAATATTAATATTTTTCTTGATATGTGAGGAGAATCATAAATATCGCTACCTTTTAGAGATATTTGAAAAAGGCAGAACCAAATAGACGGTACAAGTTCAATACATAATTTCTACTAATTAGTATATCATTAACCACAAGCTCATGTGTTAATCGTCCATAGGTTTTTAAATTGAAAACAGTAATCCTTAAGGGAAATATATAGAGAGGAGATAAGACATGTCTTACAACCTACCAATATATGAATAACTACACAAATGTTTTAAAGGCTATGGTAGATTCTGTCCCTTCACCAACACCGGAAGCAAAATTCTTCCAGGTCTTGATTAATAATCTCTCAAGAGAAGAAAGGACTTGGCATTTAGACAGTTGAGCAAGCTGCTGGTTGTCTGTGTGGTTAGGTTTCTGAAATCCATTGAAAGGAGCCTACTGAAAGAGAATAAGCTGCTGGAATGCCTCCAGGACCTACAGGGGGGCTTTGTTAACCAGTGAAAAGATTTGGTATCACCAAGAGCACCCTCTTATGAGTATGTTGATGTTGCAAGAATATTTCCATTTTATATCCAGTAAAGAAAGGAAAGGAAAATTCAAGGGCACTTGAAAGGAAAAATGCCCCAGGTTTAGAGAAAATTAGGTTGGTAATAATTGTTCAAAATTGAGCCTCAGATGACAGCCAGAAATACAGATACAGAGTTCTGTAGTTTCCAGGTGCCCAGTGTACTATGGCAACCTTCACTGATTCTTGAGAAGGAAAATTGTATGGAGGGAGAAATATAGCATAGGAGTAAAAAAAAAAAAAAAGCAAGAAACAAAAGAAAGAAATTTGTAAACAAAAGAAAGAAATTTGTAACTCAGCTCTCACTCAGAAGCATCAAGATCTGGGGCAATTATTATCTGGGGTTATTACTGGTATCTTCCCTTTCTTTTCTACAAAAAGAGGAAATGATGAGCAAAAATGATGCTGAAATGGAGAGAGCTCATTTCTGGCATTTCCAAAGTCTCAGGTCTCTCTATTTGTACAACTTACTGCTTTCATCAGTGATTTAAAGTGGAGGACCTGACAACCTCAGGCAGTCTATAAGTCAGTCTATAAGTCAGTCTATAAGTCAGCATAAAAAGTATTGGAAATCGTCGGGGAATTTTTTTTTTTGATAAACTGCGTCAATGATTCTTCTCCCTCTCATCTCTCCACTCCCCCTCCTCACCACCTATTTTTATCTTCTCCTTTCTAGTTATTTGCTTTTACCTTCATCTCACTTTAATGAAATTATACAAAGACATTAAAAGTCTTACATCGATTAAGTTATTGTCATAGTTACCTTCAGATGTCAACTTGACACAACTCTAGAGTCACCCAGGAAGAATTGCCTCAATTACATTGGCCCATGGGCATGCCTGAGAGGCATTTTCTTACTTGCTACTTGGTAGAGGAGGGTCCAGCCATCTGTGAGTGGTGCCAGCCCTGCACAGGTGGACCTGGGCTGAGTAAGAAAACTAGCTTAGCAAAGTGGAGGAAGGAAACCCGCAAACAATATTCCTTCAGGTTCCTACTTCAAGCTCCTGTTTTGTCATTCCTTGAGTATGGATTGTAACCTGTAAGATGAAATTATTTCTTTCCTCCACATTTAGTCCAAATGTCTTATTGCAGCAACATAAAATCAAGTTAGGACAGTTAGAATCCCCTAACAGATGAAAGCACAAAACATGAGCACATATAAATAGCAACCAAAGTGTTTAGTTTAGAGGACATTTATAATATGGAGGACATGATTATTAAGAGCTGTCCATGAAATTGTGACATCTCTGAGGAAACTCTGTGAGGTTTAAATAACCTTGAATGCACAGATTTTTGTACAAGGTATACAGGAAATATACAGGAAAGTAGCATGTCGGGAGAATAAAAACAAGTTGTAGAATTATGATGAAAACTCAAAGTAAAAACCTAGCTCTTGTTACTTGCAAATCCTCTTCTCCTTAGGTTAGTGTATACTGATATTCTAAGCGTAAGTTGGCACAGACATCTGGAAAGGATGATGTGATTAAATATATGGAGAAAATACTAGAATTTGACAACTGATTTAATGATAAGACAGTATGTTGGCACTGAAGGTAGATGAACAAAAGGACCCAATCTTGGACTTTACAATTTAACAATTCTGTAATGAAGGGGGTGAAAACCACAGTCTCCTCTGGGTGGAATCACATAAGTGCCACTGGCTTGTCACAAGAAAGAAGAGTTGCTTTAATTAGAAAACAAAGAATAGGAGTACGCATTAAAACAGTAAATGGTTCAAAGTCACCTTCTGCCATAGAAAGATGTGTCGTATGAATGGGAAATCTTTTAGTACTGAAAAGAAAGGACTCGGGTCCGATATGGAAGCTGCCACCAAAGAGCTGGGTATCTCTCAAGTGTGAGGGTTAAAAGAAAGGAAGTGGTGATTTCTCTATTACAGTGACTGACAAGAGTGACAGCGTGGCACATGCTACTCACTTAAGCTGTTTTGTGTGAAGGGGACAATGAGTTTCTAACATTCTAGAAAGGCTGTTTGGCAATATTTCCATAAAAAATGGACCAATATCAGGTGTAGGTCCAGCCTAAGGTGAAGAAGCAGATTGCCCAGAATATCGTCACCAACATTCAAAATAGAAAGAACTAAATTTCCTTCACGTCTAGATGGTCCTGTGGGTTTTGTTTGGCTGTAGTCCTTGGTAGTGACTTAAAGAATCCCCCTGCTTTCCCTTTTTAGCTTTGGTTGTGAATTCCTTGATGGAGACGGTTCTTTCGAATGCTGCTCCATAGACCCCCTGACAGGAACTCACTGTGTCTGCCGCAGAAGCCCCCGACTCCTCACCAATGGCTACTACATTTGGACTGAGGACAGTTTCCTCTGTGACCCTGATGGCCACGTCACTCTGAACCCATCCCATACCAGTGTTATGTACAAGGAGAACTTAGTTAAGTAAGTAGAGAACATTGCGTGAAAGGCCTCTCAAGCCCGTTGTGCCCTCCATCCATTCATCCACACACTGATAAGCAGCTCAATGCTGCCCAAGAGGTGTGGGAGTCAAGGAGGAAGTAACACACGTGCCGGGTGGAAGGTGGTGTTGGGGACAGTGGAGGGGAAGAGAATGATGCCAGTTTCACTTAGGGGACAACAGGCAACCTGGACGTCTTAGAAATGGTGACGATGAATTCTAAAAGACATAGGGTAATGGCTAAAAACAATGAGGAAGTGGAATGCCATGGAGAAAGATACAGGCAAAGGACTCGGAGAAACCCTGATACAATTAGGAGAATGCAAGTCGCTTGGTGAGGATACAGTTTGGGGGGGGGTGCTTCCTGCAAGAAAGAAGGCTAAAATTATCCTAGTTGAGACCCATGAATAACTAGGGCTTAGGAACTGGCAGATGTCTCAGTGGGTCACTTGCCCTGTGTGCAGGCTTGAGGACATGAACTCAGACTCCCTAGCATTCACACAACAGCCAGTCAGAATATTGTGCATCTGTAACCCCAGAGCTGGAGAGGCAGAGACAAGTGCAATCATGGAGTTCATTGGCTAACCAATCTAGTCCAATCAGAGAGCTCAAGGCTCAGTAGAAGCCTCGTGTCAAACAATATGATGGAGAGTGATAGTAAAAGATATTCAAGGTTGACCTCTGACTTGCGCGCGCGCGCACACACACACACACACACACACACCTTATGCAAATTAAATACATATAACCCAAGGCTTGCTCTAAGCTACCTTTACACTGAGAGAAAGTCACTTCAAAATATGTCTTCTGAGAGCGATTCTAGAAGCCCCTCTGAACAGTAGAACACTGTCACAGTAAAAACAATCCATTTCCTCTTTGTGTTCCTTGGTCCTGGATCAGCCCCCTTGGTATTTCCCACTAACATAATGCGTTCAGAACAAGGCTTGGCACATCTCAGACAGGTGCACAAGAAGTGATATTGTCATGAACTTTTAATCATTCCCTACCCTCAGTCCTACTCTTCCAGGCCATCCTCTATGGCCAAAGAAAATTTGGAAATGAAAACCAAGTCACATCATTACCTCTCCCTTTCGCAAGACACATGCCTGTGGCTTATTTTACGGTAGCATTAATCCCCATGGTCCCCTATTGAACATGCACGGACCTTTCCTATCTTTCCAGCCTCATATTCTACCTTGTCCCAATGTGAAACACACTTTCCAACACTCATCTCATACAGTTTATGGTCTACTTGGCCCAGAAAGCCTTATTGATTCTCAATTACCCTGGCCATGCCCGCTCTCTATGGGCATCTTCCATGTAATTCTTCAGAGCACATATCTCCAACATATTATGATGGTTAGGACCAGTGTCCATGGAGTCAGACTGGTTAGAGTTGCTTCCAAGCTACATCCTTTACTGGTTGGATGACCTTGGCCAAATAATATAATCTCTCTGGCTCTCATTTTCGATTCTCAGAACTGGGATAACAATCGTTCCTGTCTCACAGGCTTGTTCTAGGTATCATGTGGGTTTATCTCTACAGAGCACTTAGAAAACTACCTGACACCAAGTGAGCTCCATCGAGGTACCAGCAGTGTCTTTATGCCTTGTCAGTTTCCTAGAATATACACTGTGGCCACTGTGTATACATGGCTTAGTCTTTAACTCAGTACCATTGACATACGTCCAAGGACACAGCTCTCAAACATGAGTGGCCATGTCACAGGAATACAGGCTGAGGTACCCCACATTTTATATTCCAGGGCCACAATTACTCATATTTGGGTTCAGAATAAACTATCTCTTACCTTCTTTGAGGAGAGAGCTGCTGTTTTTGTATCAACAGCTATTATACCTAAATCCCCAAATGGATTTACTTTTTACCAAAGCTGTCACCTGAATCAGAGCTTGTAACCAGTTTGTGCCCAATGGTCTAGAGCTGTCTCCTTGGGTGATATTTGAGAGTTTCTTCTGGGGTTCAGATGCCCCTTGGTTTGGTTGATGGTCCATTCATTTGTTCTTTGTTCTTTTGCTGCAGCTAATGCCTGAGAAACACAAACACAAGACTCAGCACCCACGCGGAGTTTATTGAGAGAGAGGAGAGAAAGAGGGGGTAGCTGGTGGCCAACTGAAAGCAGGAAAGAGAGAGAGAGAGAGAGAGAGAGAGAGAGAGAGAGAGAGAGAGCAAAGAGAGAGCAGAGAGGCAGAGAGGCAGAGAGAGAGAAGCACTTGGCGCGCTTGCTTTAAAAGAGCCTTGCGCATGCATAACTGAGTCCTCTGGCCACCAGGTAAAGCCAGGTAAAGCTGACGTAGGGATGACACGGCCATGAGCGTCCTGCCCATCGTTGGGGCGGGGGTCAGCTGGCTGCTAGTTCCTAACACTTAGTGTTTCAATATCCTTTGAGTTATATAGCTTTAACTATCACGCAACAAAACTCTCCTCTCAAAGAGATCACTTCTTCTAGAGACAGATGAGTGACCATGGTTCAGAAACACAGATTTGGGTTTCCTCAAGTTCCACATTTCAATGTGGTAGCAGTTTCATGAAGCTTTTATAGTAACAGAAAAAGAAAATAATACATGTCTGAGTTAGACTTACTATTGTTGTGGAAAAAACGCCATGACCAAAAGCAACTTGAGGAAGAAGGAGTTTATTTCAGTCATACTTCCATACAATAATACATCATCAAAAGCTGTAAAAGCAGGGACACAAACAGAACAAGAACCTGAAAGGAGGAGGAGTAGCTTTCGGAGAGGTCATGCAGGAGTGCTCCTTATTGGCTTGCTCCTCTTGGCTTGTTCAGCTTGCTTTCTTATAGAACCCAGGACCACTATCCGATGGGTGGCATCACCCACAATGGGCTGGGCCTTCCCAAACCAATAACTAAAAAAATTACTTATGAGCTTGTTTGTAGCCAAATCCTGTGGAGACATTTTATCGGTTGACATTCCTTCCTCTCCAATGACTCCAGAATATGTCAAGTTTATATAAAACTGGCCAGCATAATAAGTCAGGAAAGTTTTCAGATGCATTGGTGGGAATATCAGGTAGGTGGGTTATAACAAAGTGAGGAACTCTACTATAGTTCTCAGGTGTATCCGATGAAATTCTCAGCTTTTGGGTCAGTGGAATCTGTGGTGTCTTAAGTTAACAGATCCCACTGGGTTTCCACTGGTAGTCACAAACAGATTTGGGCAATAAACATGAATATATGTGGCTAAAGACAAGAGAGCCCAAGGTAATTTGGATTTGCGCTTTGGCTCTGTGACACTCCAGCCTTTCTGCAATGGATATATGGTATAAGGTGTGGTTACTTTGGGGGAACTTTAATGCACAATCCCAGAACACAGTAGACATCTAAGAAAGTTTTGAGAAAGTGAGTGTATGGGTTTGGGTTGTAGACCTCTTCCGTGCATCAAGTCATTTCCAATGGATTGTTTCCAACACAAGGTGACTGCTCCTCACTGCTTTCATTTCTTCCCAGAATATTTAGAAAGAAAAAGAGAACCCACCGTCCTCTGTCTTCTCTCTTGGACCTCAGATCCTCTAAATCTTGGCTGCATGGAAGCCTCTTTGGAGATGCTGACTCACCTCCAAGTGAGGATATCTGGCTGGAGGGCATCAGGGGCCTGGGTATGTACCACATCAGTGAAAATGGTGGTCTCACGTTTTGTATTTCATGATGAGATATCTTTTATGAATGACAGTCATATAGTCCTGGCCCAAGACACAGTCCAAAGATAACTATCATTTTGACACAGAGGATGAAACCAGAGTTTAAAATTGCATGGACATTTTCCCATGCACCCTGTGGTTGAAATACAAAGGTCATGTCATGCAAAAAGTTAGAGTGTAAGTATCTACAACAGAGTGTTGATAATACTCAGAAAACATCGTCCCTTTTCCAGTGTGGCTTTTCATGTGTGGATTAGAAGTGGAGAAATGGTAACAGAGGCAAGTTTAGAAGACCTGTACTGGAGAGAGTGACCCTGAGTCCAGATTCAAACCTCTGTTTTGGCGTGCTGGGATAGTGATGCTAAATCTCAACTACTTTAGTTTAAAGACATGGTACATGCATGCTCATGCATAGACACATATGTTTGTATTCTGTTGAAATTTCATATCTACTATATATAATATGCTTATGTATGCATCAAAACGTGTGCATATAAATGCAGTGATATAAACTCAGAGCCCATCTTCTTGTCACCCACTCGACTACGTGCTCTACGGAAACCACTATGCTAATCTTGGAAAATTCCTTTCTCGGATAAGGAGGGGAATAGGTTTTCAGATAGTTACAGTGTAATGCCTTAAGAGCCAATTCAGGGTTATGAACATGGACAGAATGGTGGAGAGAAAGTTAATACATAAGCCCGAAAGTTAATATGAGCTCCGCCTAGATAAGGCCAGAAGGGTTTCAAGTATAGTAACATCCAAGAGGGTCTTAAGGGATGAATGACTCACTAGGCAGACAGAGCTAGAACGACACTTCTGCCTGCTCTATTCCACTTTCTAAATGGCTGGTATATTGTGGCTAGTCATTCCTTCCCAACACAAATAGATTCCTTTGGCTTTCTTCTGATTTTTAGTCAGAACTGGAGTAATTTTCTAGCAAACAACACAAAATGAGAACGAAGAGTCTGAGCAACAACCAGTGTTCAATGTGATGGGCGAGTGTGGGACTGAAGGGGGGACTCCCCTGAGCAAAGGTCCAGCCACAGTTGCTCTTGACTCAATTCATGTGTGGTTCTACCTCAACCCCGCCTTCTTCCACTCCCCTACACTCCTTTCACTCTGATTGATCACTCACGTGCATCTTGCAAACGCAAGAACTGACCATTTCCGTGAATGGTCTCAGGCTGAGAACTCTACAAAAAGCCATTCTTTTAATGGGAAGCTGGTTTTGCTTTTATGTTTTATGTTTGTTTGTGTGTGTGTGTGTGTGTTTCCACATAGGCTAAAACTGTCTAGGCCCTGAGAACAGTGTCATGTCAGACAACGTCAACAAAGCTACTTATTCTTATTCATTGCATTTTGTTGTGGGAAATAGGCAAAATTTATTATGACTTACACAGAGAAAAATTAATGGAAAAGTGATGAGGATGGAAGTTTGTACCATCCGTCTAGTTTTTCCTGGTTTTGTTTCCAATAGAGAAAAACTGGATGAATGGCACAAATTTCCAATTGGCATATGTGTGTGTGTGTGTGTGTGTGTGTGTGTGTGTGTGTGTGTATGTGTGTGTAGGAGTGTACATGCTAGATTAATTGTAAAAGAATAAGAGCTTGTCAAATGATGAATCAATCACATAATATGAACAAATGTTTAATGAAACCAAGTGTACTCTAGCTACAATAGCAAGGAAATCTCAGCAGGACAGAGACAGGAGGCAGGACTTGGAGGTTGGACTACGAAAGACAGATGGCAGAGGGCTGAAAAACCTTTTGTGCCTGATGGAGGAGACAGTTTATGTAGTGATTCAAGGGCATTTTGAAGGATCTTAAGCAGATGAAGACACATCGGATTTGGGTTTTCAGTGCTAGTTTTCTAGTAGTATGCAAGGGAAGACTGGTTGGAGCAGAGCTGCTAGGACCTCAGAAGCAAAGAAAAGCAGCAAGCATTCCAAGGAAGTACAGAGTGAATAGAAGGAAAAGAGTTAAGGGTTTTTTTTTTTTAACGTAGAGTTGGCAGGTTTGTGATAGATTGGATGAGGTGGCGAGGATGTGGGAGAATTCTAACAAATGGATGTGTTTCATTTGAGGGACTGTGAAAAGAAATCTGCCAGTGACAGCTCTAAAAGGCAGGAAAGTCATTCGGACTAAGTGTCCCTGCCTTCAGGTCCTGGAACCACCTCCTCCCCCGTGTGTGTCCTTGGGCACATTGAATAACTCTTCTGGTCTTCTACTTCGTTATTGATATAATGTCAGAGATAATACCGTGTTGGATTGTTGTGAAGATGAAGTGCACTAACTCATAAAAAGTTTCAAATGAGCTTGGAGTTGATGCTTTACTAACCATATCCCCTCTACAAGTATTTATTTTTACTGTTTTTAGTTATGTGGAGATGTACCCTCCAAGGCCATGGGGCTAAGGCCCCCAAGAGTTGGGGTTACAAATGGTTGTGAGCTGCCACGTGGGTTCTGTGAACCAATCTGGGACCATATGGAAAAACATCAAATGCTTTTAATTTCTGAGCCATCCCTCAAGCCCACTGTTTGCCAGTGAACATGCTCAGACTTTAGCAGACTTGTGTGTGTATGTGTGTGTGTTTACTTTCTCTGGGCAAATATAAACACTTGAGATTGACTTTCCTTTGTAACAAAAGCCTAAAAGAGACAATTCCAAGACAACTGTAAGTGACCAAGAGGAGCCAGTTTCCACAAGATGTCCTAGAACATGAGAATGGTGGCTGGTAACTATAGCTTATGTCTTGGTTACATTTCTTGCTCTGTGGCAAAGTTCTGAAGCAGTTTGGAGGAGGCAGAGTGTACTTTGGCTCACAGTTTTAAGGTATACAGTCCAGCCCAGTGGGGACAATCTGGTGGCAAGAGAGTGGAGCAGCTTGTCAGATTGTGTCTATGCATCTGGAAGCAGACAGAGAGCCAGTTGGAACTGGATCTGTGCTATAAAACCCCACCCGGGGCCTACATCGTATGACCTAGTACTTCCTTCAGCAAAGGTTCGTCTCCTAAGAACCCCACAATCTCTCCAAACCAAGGAAGACATTTCACACTTAAACTACAACACTGGGAAATGGCTTTTTACAAAGGCAGTTTTCACATGTTTGGAAATTGGCATCTGGCATCCATAGTTGCTTTTTCCAAATGTGCCCGAACAACTCGAAAACAGTTGGACCACAACAGTGCTGCACATGCATGAGGTATCTTATTAAGATTCGTATGCTTGTCAAATATCTTCTAAATATAACAAATCAAACCACCCCATTCCAGAAATCAGTAATTAGTCAACCTGGGTACACACAAGACTTGGAAAGCTCTCTGCTGTCAGCTGTAATCAAATCTCCTCAGACGTCTAGTTTTCTGGTTTTACCCAAGGCTTCTTGATTTATCAGCAATTTATTTTTCTCTGGAAATATAGCCTAGTTAGAAGACTCCAGAAGAATTCAAAATTAAATTGTTTTGCTATTTTCTCTCTGCGAGGTGGTTGCAATCAAACACTATTTCCCCTGATTTTCTCACACTTCGTTCTTTTGAGACGAGAGGATATTTTGCCTACTTGGTTTGTCCTCCCCTAACCCCTTTTCCAGCTGCACAGAGATACCTTCCCTCATTAGTCTCAATTCATTCTTTACCCGTGGCATTTTGCATCTCCCAAGAACCCCAACCCCACCCCAAACTGCAATTTGGAATGTGTTCCTGGATCTGTGAGTCACCCTGAAATAGAATAGAGAATTCACTCAGGAAGAACTGAATGGGGCAGGATCTTCTTTAGCCCTGCCTGTCACAAGCTTGATCTCTGAGCTTTTCTCTAGGACTAATGCCACAGGATTGCCCTTCTTAAACAAACACAATCTGTTTTGAATGTAAAGAAAGCAGGTGATACAGCAAAAAAAATTAATGCTTTCAAATATAATGCAACTAAAGATATTTGTTGAAATGTTTGATGTGTTAAGAGCCATTCATTTATTAGTAAACTTATCAAAAGATACAAAAATCAGTCAAAGAATAGTATGTGTTGGGGAAAACCACATCTCTTTAGAGACAGATGTCTCTTTGGTCATTTTGAGTATTAAGAATTTTTATGGTTTCCGTTTAATGCCGTCCATCATTTAAAAGTCCTGTGTAGGGATTCCAACATGCCTCGTAAGAGCCATCTGTTTTGTTAAATTCAGATATCTGTGCTTATTTCCTAAGTTAGACCAGGCAGTCCTGAGAAACAGCATAGGGATATTTTTGCTGTTGCCACAGAGCCTGCCTCCTGTCCTGGGATCACAGAATTGTCTTTGAGGAATGTGTGATCGGCCAGGAGTATCTTGGATCCTTTCTCGTTTCCACATTAATTTGGTTGTCTAGCTGCCTCTCTCTCTCTCTGTCTCTCTCTCGCTCTCTCTTCAGCTTTACTGAGGTATAATTGACACACAAAGGAATGTACTCATTTAATATGTACAACTTAATGAGTTAGCTATATGCAAACACCAGTAATTTATCACCGTAATTAACATAAAGGACATACCAAACAGCTCCCCAAGGCACCTTATGCCCTCTGTGTGTTGTGCACAGGTGTGAGTGTGTTTTTAAGAACATGAACATAACCTATCTTCTTAAAAATAGCACATTGTCAAACACAGGCAACAGGCTGTACCACCCATGTCCTTAAACCTCATCCATTTGATGTACTGGAAATGCTATACTCCCAATCCCTCTACCTCCTAACTCTCGAAGCCCTGGCAACTGTTACCGACTTCTCTGCCTCTGTAAGTTTACCTACTTAGATCCTTACAGAAGTGGACTCTGTATCTGCCCTTTTGCACTGGGCCATTTATTTACCTTAGCATACTGCCATGCAGGTCCTTTCATGTTGTTGCAAGGGGCAGGATTACCTTCCACATTTGAGGCCGAATGACATTCCATTGCACACGCATGCCACGTTTTCTCTATGCATCCGTCCGCGG